TTTCTCCCACAGAGGAGTGTGCTGCAGCTGCTGCACTCAAAGAGCGAGGTGGTACGGCAGTACATGGCCAGGCTCGTCAACGCTTTTGCATCCCTGGCAGAAGGTGAGACGGCAGCTCTCCTTGCCGACTGAGGGGGAAAAATGAAAAGCTGAGAATTATGTTTTATTAGGTGGACAAAACTGAAGACTTAAGCCCGGACGCAGCATCTTACATAGCTCGGAGGGACTGCTCCGAAGAGGCAAGCGGGGAGCCGGGGTATATAGGAGTTTTTGCAGCAAAGATGAGGTAGACAGAGCATCAGAAGCTTACTGTTAAAGAAAACCAGACATCTCAAGTTAAGGAATTCAGCACTTTTCTGTGTACGGGAAGATGCAAGAGTCTGGGCTCACTGAAGTCATTCCTTTGACAGGTACCTCAGCGATCTAGGGTCATATCCTATGCTTTCCCATCCTGAACCTCTTCAGGGTGCACCGCTGAGGGTGGCTGCAGGGGCTGAGGGCTTGGCAGTGGGCAGCCCATTGGTCTCCATCCTGAGTTCCCTCAGGGCTCACCATCCAGAGTGGCTGTAGTGGCTTGATGTCTGCAGCATCCTTTGCTTACTGATACGGCAGGCAACATATTTTTTTTTCATTGATACCTTCAGAGGGAAGAGCTAGGTCTTGTGGATGTGTTTTTCCCTGTGAAAACACATTCTTCCCCAAGTTTCTTAGCAATGACATGTGATTCCTCAGTTTATTACTGTTTAATGCATCTAAGGTCTTTTGAAAAACGTAGTTGTTGTCATATTGCTGTAATTTATGTCAGAGCAAATTTTGATGGTTTTGGAGTTTATTTTGTTAGCCTTTGGTTTCATTCTGTAAAGCTTTCTGGTATTGTAACGTAGTACTTTTTAGACTGCTCTCAAGATAGCAGGTAATGCCTTTTTTATCATTTTCTACTTAAGGCCAAATAAGGTTGGTGAAATAAAGTGACCCCAATAAGCACTATACCATGTCTTTCAAAACACTAATCCTTTTAAATCAAGAGGATTTGAAAATTCCCAAAATAACATGCTACCATAATTTAATTCAAAATGATTTTACAAAATGCCATTACCTCCCATAAATTCTAATTTGTTTGAGCTCTTTTTAACATGAATAATGGGAGTTTTAAATTGTGACTGTGTGACACTCCAGAAGTTTTTTCATTCATTTGTTTGTTGTTCCAGCCATTTAACAAACATTTTATGATAAGCCAGGGTATGTGCCAGGCACCATTCATATAATATGGTTGAACTTTATGTCTGAAATCAATGTCATCTGTATCAAGATACAAGTTCACAACAGGCTAGTGACAGGGTTCCAGGTATGGTTCCTAACTTCTTCTCCAGGCCATGGGTGTGTCCAGAAAGCACTACTGGGCTGCCTCTGTTGTTAAGACTAAGGGGTTCATAACACACAGATTCATCACCCGCTTTTTCCTTGTGATCTGACTTTTGGGTTCAAGATTTTGGGTAGGGACTTCCCTGGCGGTCCAGTGGTTGGGACTTTGCCTTCCAGTGCAGGGAGTGTGGGTTCGATCCCTGGTCGGGGAGCTAAGATCCCACATGCCTCACGACCAAAAAACTAAAACACAGAACAGAAGCAGTATAGTGACAAATTCAATAAAGACTTTAAAAACAAAAAATGGTCCACATCAAAAAAAATCTTAAACGAAAGAAAAGATTTGGGGTAAATAAAAGACAGTGCTCCGCACAAGAACACGGTGATGAATCATGTTTAGATGACAGGAAAAGTGGTTTTCCATTCGTTAGATAGTTGATTGAGTAAAACCAACTTGCAGCTGAAATATGCTTTGATAAGTTTTCTAGAACATAAAATTACCCAAACTCTATGTGTGTTATATGCGAAGTTTTCATAGGAAGTGGTTTTGGAGCATGAACTTAACACAAGATAAATTCTCTCCCTCGTTCATCTCTGGTTATATTATTAGGTCGCCGCTACCTTGCCCAGAGCACAAAGGTGCTGCGGATGCTGGAAGAAAGGCTGAAGGAGGAAGACAAGGACGTCATCACCCGGGAGAATGTTCTCGGGGCCTTGCAGAAGTTCAGCCTCAGGTGCTGACCGTGCAGTAGGTCATGGTGGTGCCTGTGAAATCACCTTGGGGGTTTCTTAGCCACTGTTTTGTGCTTATTTGGTCCCAGTGACAATCCAAGATGCAGGTGATATTTTTCAGTGAATGCTTCGAAGAGGTTGGGTGACTTTCTGAAGAAGAGCTGGAAAGCGCACCTCGGATCCACTAAACCATGTGCTCCTACACTTTAAAGCCCTGGGATATTCTCCTAATGACCATTATCTTGTGCTGACCAGGTGCTAGATGCTAGATTGTGTCTCGGGCCACGTGCAAGCTTTGGAGATAAGCACATGGATGCAGCCCGAGAGAGCCTCCACCTGCAAATGCTCACAGTTCACTGTGGGGGAGGCACGTGTAAATGCACAGTCACAGTCGGGGGGGGGGGGGGGGGGG